AACTGACAGCAAGCGTCGGGAAAATAAAAAGGCAATTCTGGGATTCGAACCCACCGTCTAACGGTCTGATAACCGCGAGCTTAACCACTCGGCCATCTCAGAGATACTACTTTTCGTTGTTCATATTAATTAAGGAGATAACAAAGTCATTCAACTTACTGCACAGAATGTTGCTGTGTAAATACTAAGTGACTGAAACTTTATCCACCTTGAGCCCAAGTGCACCCTTACCGGCGAAAGAAAGACAGGTGGCAATAAGTTTTCCAACCGGGTTCTAACACGCGTTCGGCGTGCACGTATAATTAAAAATCGTTGCGCGTACTCAGCGTGCTCCGCTTCTACGCGCATAAACTTGCGTGAGTACTAAAGGACTGTCCATTTCATTTCAAAACACGGCCTCTTTTATTCATGGTCGGAGCGGATAAAATGGAGATCGAGGGGTTACAGGCATTGATCGCCATTTGCATGGAGCCATGAAACCCGAAGTTAATGCACAACTTCTGCGATCGTCCAATGGGAGCCTCAAGCGGCCTCCGGCCGCGGCAGGGCCTTGCCGCCAATCTCACTCCACAGCCATGTGTTAAGGTCTCCAAAAAGTGATGATGCGGTGGGAAATGCTACATAGATCTTGTACAAAATAAAGACAATGTGGTTACTGGTTTAAAATTCCAGCCTTGTAAATGGTTGATTGCATTTTGGAACCAGTTACACGCACCTTCATCCTTCACTATCAAAGTGTGAAAACGGTTTTTTTTTTTATTATCGTCATCATGCATATTGAGTGAGGTTATAATGCAGTTACAGTTCGGACGTTTGAATTTTTTTTACAAGCCTGTTTCATTTCACACTTCCTTGATGATGTTAGTTTCCCATCACGGTGTGGCTCTTCAATTTTGGAATCTTGATAACATACAATATCAATCCGATCGTTAATTTGGTAATAACACGAGCGGGGGACACATAGATTCTTTTATCCAATTAATCCTTCTTGGTATCTGTACCGATGTCAGTCTTCACAGTTAATTACTAACCATCAAAGTTTAGAGATTCCCCATTTTTACCATGTATGATGGTTTTAGGATCTTGAAATTTTGCAGCGTAGATTATAAGTAAAGTAATGGGGTTTGTCAGTGTGAATAGCTTTTGATATGAAATAACTTAATTTCATATTTGCTTGTTTTCGGGGTGTTTTTTTCTTTTTTTTGTTTATGGTAGTCTTTTTTGTCAGTTGTTGGAATGGAAACGCCCATGGCTGGAAGACAGAACTCTGACAGAAACAAGTCTGCATGCTGTTCAGGTATAAATAATTATTATCCTTATAGTTTGATCAGGCGGTAAATCAAGCCTCGTTTTCGCAGTGATTGCAATAAAAAATAGTCTGCCGTTCGCCACTTCTGTTCTAGCAAATGAAAACGATCACCACTTGTGGTATTGTACAACATCAAATTTGCACATTGAAGAAATGTACATTTTGGAGGTATTTGACTACCCATAATTGAAGACCACTTAATTTAATCCTGGCAACCTTTCATATCTCTCTGTTTGGTCAATCAACATACCCACATTATTAATGTTTTACATGTAAGTGGAGTACGTAAGTGTAGCAGATATTTAGAATCGAAGAACCAGAAGAAACCCCAGCTTTTCCAGGACAGTGAGCAGTCAGACTTTCTAATATTTCCACCCTCTGGTGTTGTTAGGACAAACTGAATGAGCTTCGCAACTACAGTACCACAGAGAAGTCTCCCAAGTTAGAAGAGAAGGGGCAGCTGGAGTCGAACTACAACACTCTGCAGACCAAGCTTCGTCTCAGCAATAGACCGGCCTACATCCCACA